CCCCTCCCTTTTTTCCTTCTCTCCTCGCCTCCCACACAGTGGTACAGAGAATTATAAAAAAATCTTTGGCTGTTGCTCTCAGTGGTTTTGTGTTCTGCTGATGCTGAGTGTTCCTCTTTCTGTACAAGTTAATGTTTTAGAGGCACTTAACCACGCTTGACGTAAACACTGACTTGTTTCTCAAGGAGAAACATCCATAAATGTAACGCTGATTGTTGTTTACTGGTATTTTCCGATGTTATTGCCTAGACAGGTAGAAGAAAAATTAAAATATTTGTAGTTTCAGAAATGGAAAAAAAAATTATGCCTCCCTGAGGTTTGCCAAGCATCACATCGCACTGCAGGTGTAAGGCTTGTGTCCATTTGAATGCGTTCTATCTCACAAATGATGAAGCTGGCAATGAATGCTATTTGTAGATGCGTGTCTGTTGTGACCTCCTTTTCTAAAGGAGAGCTACAACCTGCTTTGAGCTCTGACAACACTTAATGTCAAAATGGCATAATTTGTAACGCTTATTGTCAGCGTCAGCTGTCACAGAACAAATAAGCATAAAAAAGAAAAGCTGGCTCCCTCTGTCCCAAAGATCTTTATATGATAAGTGTGTGATGAGGCAGGGAGACAAGAGATGAGAACAGGGAGGTGGTGGGGACATATGTGGAACAGTTCTTACAAGCTGTGGTCACCACACACAGATTGACCAGTCATTTTTGAGGCTTTTGTGAAAAGGACTTTGCATGGATGTAATTCAGCCTTGGATTTTGATAGGAGTTGCTTGTAAATAAGGAATAGGATGTGAGAAATTTGGAGGGGTTGGAAGAGCTAGAGGGTGGAGGTTCGTGATGTTGGCTGAGTGGGGGTCCAGGTCTACACTAGAAAATTGGCAGGAAATTGGACGCTTTTTTGGTATTGTTTCTTCACTAGCAGTAATACTAGGATGAAGCACTTTCATGGCCATGAAACTTAACTATCTAGCCTGGAAAAATACTATGAATTATACTGAAGAATGTTTCTTTTTGCTGTAGAGAGAGCTCAATACAGAAAAAGGGTTTGGCACGTAACTTTGTGTTGTCTAGATTTAAACTTGGCTGACGTGAAGGTCCATCTGTGTAAGAATTGTGTGCTGAAGAGCTAAGATCTTGTCTTCAAGTGGTGTTGGTTTATAATACAGCTCTCTGTAGTTCTAAAAGTGGTTCCTGGCATGAAAAAATATGATATCTTGCAAGCAAGCAGGCATAGCTTAAAAAGAAGTTACTATCTTCCTGATGGTGGTCGTTGTCTTAAGCTGTGTTAGTCAATATGTGGACACTCGTAATTTGGGTTGCTGCAAAACCAGTCGCATTACCTTAAAAAAAAAAAACAAAACTTTGGTGGTGGTTACATCAAGTCAGTGGATTGCTGCAATCCATCTGTAAGAACAATGACAGTGCAGGATATTTGTGCCCTTAAAATGGCAGTGCACTAAGATAATCACTGCAGCATGGTTTTGAATGACCATAAGGAGAGCGAGGTGGCATTATTTTTCAGAGACCACAAAATTGTATAATTAGGTGTTCAAGAGGACGATAGTAAATGCTTGGATATCTGTCTGGCTTTCCCCTGTGGGTGAAATAGGAATTGGAATTGAAGGAGGTTGCAATATGTAGATGTTTGAGCAGAGAAATGTAAAACAACTGTTTGTTTCAGTGGTGTTGGCCCATATAAATTAGTTTAAATACAGAAGATTAATTAAAATACAAAAGTATCTGTAGGGAGTGAAGGGGGGAACCTCATCAAGGGGAATTGTTTTACCTACTGTTTCAAAACAAAGGAGTTGCCACCCATGACTTGTGTTGCATTGTAATTCATACTGAGCAGTCTTATTTTCATAGCTATTTATGATTGAAATTTCTGGTTTGAAAGCTCTTAATTTAGGGACATTGCAAGAACTGAATTTTCTCTTTTTAATGTTTTTACCTCCTTTTAAACTCCTACCGGGCACTAACATCTGTATTTTGATTATATGAAGTAAGAATTGAATAGGTTTGTCATTGCACGTGGGGAATATTCACTAAAGGATACTGGGTTGAGTTTAAAGAGCTAAAGACAGGTTTGGTTTTGAAGGTTCACTAAAAAACCCCAAACAAACGTAAAAAACCAGTTGATCCTTGGCATTGTACTTGGTCAAAGAGTTAAGTGCTAATAGAGTCAGGAGAATGACTGGGTATATGGTATCTTAGTGTTCACCAATTCAGACTGTAAGGCTGGAAGGACTGGATTGCTGAACCTCCTGTATTTTGCAGAGCATGAAACTGCAGCCAGTTTCCCCATGTGTTAAGCATAACTTTTATTTGCCCACTTGTTTGACTCTTACAAAAGTCATTAAAATGTGTAAAAAGACACCAATTCCAGGTGTTGGGCTGTAGCCACAGGATGGGAGAGTGAGGGTTGAGTGTTCCTGAAGGTATGTGCTTCCAGTTTACAGATGACGAGACACCTGGATGTCTGAACAGAGCAGATGAGCTTTGCATTTCTTTTGCAGATAAATGGAAGTTTTAATATTTTTAAGTAGCAAAATTGTCATTTGCAAACTAAGCTACGCAGGAGTAATTTGTGATTTGATAGGCTAAAGTGAGGGTACTTGTTGAGGGAAATACATGGCGCACCAGTTTTATCTTGGAAGGCATGTGCATGCTTAGGTACACAGTGTAACCTGCTTCAATGACTTCTAGTGTTTCTAATGTCCTAATGTTGAGATAATTGATGGTGTATTACACCTGACTTCCCTCTTCTGTTTCGGGTTGCTGGTACCATCCTGCCTTATGCTGACCTGAGGTTTGCTCCTATTTTCAAAGTGCGTTTGCAGGCTCAGCATAGGCAGATGAGCTCGTGGTCCCCAAGGCAAGCAGAGATCTGGCGGACATGGTTCCTTCCACCTCCATTGCACCTCAGTTTCATGCATTTCTGGGGAGCTCTTGTCTCTGGGATGACCTTCGTTGGCAACATTTTCCAGGATTTATCTCATGCTCTTACCTGTTTTCCTCGGCTCATCCTCACCTCAATAGCGAGAAGAGGAAAAGCTACATTATGGGTTTTCCTCATATTAAAATGGAAAGGCTATTTTTACATCTTCTAAAAAACAACACCCCCCCAAAAAAAATCCCACCTGTGGTTGCTTCAGAAAGCTTTCATTTCAGTAAGAATTATTTAATGTAGTTACCTTCCTTACAGATGATGACTTTGATCAATTTGATAAGCCTGGTGCAGAAAGGTCTTGGAGAAGAAGAGCTGGAGATGACGACTGGGACAGGTAGGTAGAACATCTTCATGTTCAGTTTCTGTATGCTGAATTACATTGCTCTGTTTTCCCATTCTGGCATTTTGTATTCTAACATTTAGAGTAGCACACATTTAGAAACTGATGAAGACATTGGTTGTTACGCATGTATCAGCCGATGCTAGATTGTGCCAAACATATACTTGCCTTGAGGAATATAGAGAGCACTATGAAGAGATACCATGTAAAATTGGATAAATACAAAGTATTTGTGGTGTGTAATTAACTTAGCAATTAATATCCTGGTTTTCCTTTTAAATATTTAGTAGATCTCAATGATTTAAAGTTAGATTAGTTAGATTTCACTAGTACTTGAATTTGCCCAACTTAATTTATTTTTTTTTTTAACTAGATGTTTAAATTCTTATCCTCAAAGTCCTACTTCAGTTTTACATTGGGGGAGAGTAATGGAGCTTGGGTATGGGCTTCTATTGAAGAAATGACTGTTGTAAAGATTTAGAAGTATGTATGAATTTGGTTATTTTGGAGGAGAATAAGAGCATGTTCTTTTATGCGAAGGCACTCTAGCTGGGAAAGACTTGAATCAAGCTGCTGGCTAGACTTGTCTATTCGTTCTGGGAGAAAACTTTTCACTTTTTTGTGGGGTTGCATTTTTTTATTATTCCTTTTTAGTAACAGAGAGACTTGTTCAGACTTTGCCAGTGGTTTTCACTGTAAAAAGGGGAAAAAAACATTCCAAACAGATTTTTGTCTTTTATAATAATCATTCAAATGATTGTAGTAAACAAATTTTACCCTAAGTAGTTTTCCACTGAGCTGAGCCCTTGGAGTGAATCAGCTACTCTAAATTTATCATCATTCCAGAGGGATTAGTTTCCTCTTCCGTGCTTTTCTGCTAGGTTAAGTGGGTAGTTTTCATTGCTATAGGAGGTGAGTAAGAGTGGATAAGGAATTTAGACAATAGCTTCAGTATACAGGGTGTTCTGCTGTATGCTGATGAGAGGTGTCTGATCTCTGTCACGCCAGCACAGCTGTTTGTGGGTTGGATGGTGAACTGCATCAAGGAACTGATCTGGTTTGAGAGTGTAATTAAAATAACTTGTTCAGCCTGGGTCACTGTACTGTGCTGCCTCCCAGCCCCAGCTCTGGGTATTCAGAAATACTGAAGCCAATATTACGGGCAAAATGCTTTGTATTAAAGTATTTTCTGAAATTTTTGCCTTTGCTGACTTCATGGTATGAATAGGTGGCCTCTTAGGTGCTGGCTCGTCACATTTGCTTTTAGCTGTCCTACTCTTACCACTTCAGAAAATTTGGAAGAGTCAAACAGCCATTGTATTGGAAGTTGTAAGCTTATTGCCAATGGTAAACTCCCTGTGGCAGTTTTTTTTATAGGACTTGAGAAAGATTATAGAGTATTTTCACTAAGTTCAGACTTTGAAGCACACAAGGATTCAGTTCGAGAAGAAAATTTTTGTTTATGTGTTTATTATTAACTGCATATAATTTAAGATAGATGATCAAAAATCATATTGTTTATTCTTTAGTGAAATTTTAAGGGAAATGGTTTCAGGTGCAGTGCTGCAGATTCCAGAGTTTCATCTTGCTGATCATTTCAGAAAATGTTTTTCTTACAACTGTATCTAATAGAATATTATTTTATTTGCATGTGTTGGAATTTTATTTTTTTATTATTATTAATTCTTTTTAGATTGCCAAGCTGTCTTTGGAAGTCTTAAGTTCCATGGTTGTCTGGGTGATTACAAATGCTGTACATGGATGTGTTGTTCGCTAATGTAATTGCTTGAATTTTTTTAACTACTGGCCTAATTCAGTATACGACACAGTTTCTTAAAGGTGGAGAAAAGGCTAAATGAACACAGTAGACTTGGTTTTTTTTTTGATCCTTCTTGCTTTGTTTTGCAACCTAAGTAACTTTTTTTGTGGGGGAGGGTGAAGGGGTTATGCTGTTACTCATACATCTTGATGAACCATCAACTCTTACTGTGTTGCTGCTTAACTGAGTCCCATCCTGCAGTCATTTAAATAATTTTGAATTTCCAGATCTCTTTCCTTTGTCAAACACTGGAGAGTGATAACTGAGAGCTGGAAAGCCCCTGTTGTTCAGGAGTACAAATGTAACATTGTTCTTGGAGAATTTTTCCTATTACATTTTTTTTACAAATTCTTTTCCTGAAACACTTCTGTCCCTGCTACTGCTCGTGTTTAATGAGGCATGCTTATGAAATTGGAGGCCAGAAAGGGCCAGTCTGATGTCTTTATCATGGGCTGTTAATTTATACATTTATCTCTATAAGTAGCCCAAAGCTTGGGTTTGGGAAAAACACGCAGTTCTGGTGCTATCCTGTGAGATGACAGGGCTGATTTAGTGGTTGGCTTTTGCTGAAATTCACTTGTTCTGACCCTTTTCTGAGACTATTCATTTCTCTATGCTGGCAGAAAACTTGTTGTCTGTCTTTTTTATTATTATTTTCTCTTCCTTATTTGGTGAGCTGAATTTATTCAGTGAGGGGAATATTGAGTATTGAGAGTTGAGGAAGGGGAGGAAGTGGGTCTGTCTTTTGTGAGAGCAGTGAACTCTTAGATTATCTTAATCCTCATTTCCTAGAATTGTAGTTTTGGAAAGATCTTTGTGTACTGATGACAGTGAGGGTGAGTTGCCTTTGAACTATCACAGATGTGTATTTTTATTCCAGTTTAATTTGTTTTATGTGGCTTTGTGTGGTATCAGATTGCAACAATTCATTTTTGTCTGTTTTTCTCAGCTAGCCTAAGATCTTTTAGTGTCTGTGTTTTTTGTGTTGATTTTTTTTCTTTTCTGTTTTTTTAATAGTCAGATCTGGTAATTCTGGTCCCTCTTCTTATAGATAACTTCAGATTTGGCTGTTTTAAAAGAAGCTTGAGATAGGTCCACTTCACTGTGCAGGCTTTTTCCTGTTACTTTGTTTACTCAAAAAGTTACCATCGGTGATTTTTCTTCTTTTAATTTATCAATGAAAATATTGAATGACATTGAATATTTTAATAGGTTTTGAGGGGCATTCTGTGAAACACCTTTGTTTCTGTTATAAGCTTTATGTATTTGCTAGTGCTAACTTCTTCACTGTCAAGTAACAAGCCAAAGCTTTTAAAAATCTAGAATACATATGCAATTACTTCTATTGACGAAATGTTTAATCTTTTTTTTAAAAATCACATCAAGGATGTTTTTAGTAATGTGTTGAATAGCACTAACTATGTTTACATAATTAATTTAATCTTTCACTTTCTTTTCCATTCCTCCTTGATCTGGATTTCTTACGAGCTGAACTTGCTTTTCGTTTTTGAATGCTGCTATAACACACGCTCTTGCCGTCCTTTGGAATTTCTCTAGTGCAGCTTTATTAAAAGCTGTCAGTGGTTGACTATAGTGCTGGGAAATATTTTCAAACCTTTTGGTGCATTTGTCAGATTACTGGTAGCTGAAGAGATTAGTGACTTTTTCCTGCTTCAATTTTGGCTCTAAATTCTTCTGAAACCATTTCTGTAACGTAGAATTTTCTGTCTCTGAAATAAAGGTCTTAAATTCTAGTCAGTTTGCTCTTTGGGATGTATGATATGTCTAATGTCCCAATTTTTGTTTAATATTGCAGTGAGCACAAAACAATTGCTGTTTGTTAATGTTCAGTCATTCCTGGAACTGTTTGAGATCAGTAACTATGAACAAATACTGTGTACTGATGATAATGTCCTATTTAGTGCTGATTTGGAATATCATCTGTTCTATTCTAGCCCACAAGATTTTTATTGCCCTCTGAAAGAGATGTATCCATCTGCAAAAACAACGTTTAGCACTGATTTATGTCTTGGTATTGGCTTCCCCATTTTCAAGTATTTCCTATACTGTCCTAAGGAACTCTTATACGTATTTCCATTCTGTTAATGTAGCCCATTCTCACTCTGCGATATTTAATTTTTATGTAGTATCTAAGGCATGGGGGTGTTTTTTGTAGTTTGGTTTTTTTTAAGGTGTGCAGGTGGAAATAGGGTCGCATTCTTGAAATACAGCTCATATTGCAAATTACTGGCATGTCATTTTAGTATTAGGACATGCATGTTCTAACATGGGCATTTGTCAGTAATAAGTATTTATTATACAAGGGGGAATCTGTTTATTCCTGTCACTAGGTAATTCTTTCACTGAAGGAAGAATGAGATTAAACAGTTGTCCTAAAGCTTAACTAATCTGGACTGTAGTTCTTTGTGTTGCATCCTATTTATGGGACAGATGCTATGTGATGGCAGAAGTTTTGTAAGCCAGGTATTTCTATGCTTCCTGAATTCTTAGCTACGCTTACTAAGATAGTGAAACATGCATTTGATTTTGTCGTCCTACAAATGTCTGTCTGACCTTACCCTCAACTTGAGGAGGAGGGAATAAAGTACTTATGAAAGATCTAGGCCTAAGTGGCTCCCAAGCCAGCTGGCCTTCCAGTAACTCCTTGCTAAAGTGCAGCTTGGGCCACTTGGTGGCCTGTAGACTGAGTCTTGCCCACAGGACTTTACTGTCTCGCTTACTTCTTCCCTCGAGAGGTGGGAAATAGCAGTTTGGACAACATACCCAAACGGCCTTGAAGTGAAAGATCTAGAGTGGGGACTTAGTAACTGTGTTTAAACTGCCTGCACTTTGTCTAAGTTTATGTGCTGTGTTCTAGTTGGAGGCATATGGAAAGGAGAGCGTATGGAAATGAAATGACGGCACAACAGAAATCCTATTTAATATGTATGGTCTATCGTTTCATTTAAAATATATATCTCCTTCTTCAACTTGCTGAATGCTTTGCTAAAAGGAAAGCTTTGTGCAGACTCAATTCTCCAAGTTAGTTTTTTAAGGTGTATATCCTATCTGGTGTTTGTTTCTGTTCTAAGGTTCAGCTTCTTAAATTTGTTAATGTTTTACAGTGAACTTGATGATGACTTGCTTGGAGAGGATTTGCTAACTGGCAAAAAGGTAAGAGATGTGTGTTGAAGTGAATTGTTACAGATATTAAAGTGTGAATGTTGTTAAACTTACCCGCTTCAGTTGTTTGGTATGGCCTTTTACGTATTTTACAGTCACCTCCCGAAAGCCTGACAGCCACGGGTACCTGAGATCTGCCCTGTTGCCAGAGCGCTCTGCACCAAGGGCTCTGTTTCCTTTTGTGAAGTACCTCCAAGTGTGGCTTTTTAAAATAAAACTTCTAGAAAAAAATTTTTTTTTTCTTCTCATAACACATGGTTCAAAAAGGAGATGGTTCTCAAAATCAGTTTCTCTGTAGCCCATATTGACTTAACAATTTAAAACAAACAAACAAACAAAAAACCCCCAACAAAAACAAAAAAACCCTGTTATGCCTCCTGAGTGCTGTTTAGCATTCTGGAGAATTCACTTCAACTGCCAGTTTCCTGGCTATTAAAAGTTACTCATCAAAATACCATCAGTATTTACCAGAGAGTAAATAAAAAAGCAATCAGTGGTGTCTATTAAAGACCCACTCACTGCACACAATCCACTAGTACTTTGTCTAATGAGTAGGCAGAGGATTTCGCCTTCTACAATGAGGGAAGAATATGGGAGCAGCTAGCATTGGAGAACATAAATGAGTTCCCCCATGTCTGCTATAGACTTCTCACTCTGATACCTATTTCCAGAATTGAACTCTATGAAAGAACTAAATGTATGTTTGGATTTGCCAGATATCTGCAGGAGAAGACAGGACTTCTGTTTGGGAAATCAAAACTGGCTAGTCACCTCCTCCTCTACTTCAACTGCTAAATGAATTCGTTTAGAAAATAGTTTTTAAAGTTTTAGTTGCAGATGAATAGGTTTGTTAAGAAACCCAGATCTGGTAAAAATTGAGTTTTAATTGATGTCATTTTTTATAATCACACTCTAAATGTTGGAAGTTAGCTTCTTGAAATTATTCTGTAAGTAATCCCTATTAAAGATAGGAAGTTCCTTTGTCTCATGTACTGGTTTAAAAAATAAAATAAAATTCCAGGAGGATAGGGATCGCAGGTGTGTGTTACGCAATTATCAAAAACATAAGCAGTTAACATTGCATACATCTTTGTAGTTGAAATGTGAGTTGATAAAGCTGCTTACTTATCTTAAAAAAAAAAAAAAAAATCTATGAATACTAACCAATACTAGACTTCTCCAATGTATTATGTGTTCTTGTCCTTTTTCTATTCTTGTTTTCAGTTTGCCATGTTACAGGGCTCTGAGCAGTATCTGTGCATATGGACTCTCATGGTGGAGTAATAATAGATCTCTGAGGAAGTTTTCCCTGAGCTATTTAGGCTAAACTTGCTTCTACTTAATCTCATCCCAGTACTTTTAGATAAATCTACCCTTGTATGACCTTTCTGCCCCTATTACTTTAGAGGATGGAAATAATGTTGCTGAGCAAAATTGCAGTTACCTCTTTCTAGTGGGTAATTATTTACCAAAAAAAAAAAACCAAAGAACAACCGAAAGTATGATAGACAAATTAGGAGGAGTTCAGAAAAGGCATGATATTTTCTTCTATTTTTTTTATCACTTAGAAACTAATTAATGGTTTTTCAATTTTCTTCATATCATCATATCCTTTTCTCCAGTCTCCTAAGTATCTCTGCTTTCTAGGAACTGCAGTAACTTAGTGGTTTTTCTTGACTCGGCTGATGCATCGAGGTCACAAGGCAGTTAAATAAGAGCACTAAAGCTAACTTTTCTTTCTTCCTGGTATTTCTTAAGTGAGTTGTCGTCTTTGGCTATATTTGGGAATGCATCAGTGAAGAGTGTTGAAGCTAGGCAAATTTCAGTTTTGTAAATTTCCATAAGACTGTCAAACGTTGATTTTCAGATTTGTTGTCTTGTGTATTTTTTCTTATTGAGTTAGGTAATTTCGTTGAAGATATGGTCTTAGTCTGGGATGCATTCTTCGTAAAAAATACTTAGTGTTCAGAAGTTTCAATAGTTTCAGTACCTAGTTAGTTAAAAGTTTATATCCTTTTTTATGTTCATAATTGACTTTTTCTGAAACCTAGAATCAGTCAGACTTGTCAGATGAAGAGCTGAATGATGATCTTCTGCAAAGTGACAATGAAGAGGAACAAGAATTTCGGTATCTCTTTTCTAAGTCTCGTGTTTTGAATAACTCTAAGCTATTAATGACTACTACTACTGATAACTAGTAACTACTAAACTGAAGTGATTGGTGTATACTTAAAATAGTTTTGCTTTTTACCTAGCCAGCTACTTAATGATGTATATATAATGTGTTCAGTAGCATTGTTAGCATTTCAGTAAAATGATTTTTTGTTTATTTGAATCTAATAAATTTGATTCAAATCTATAAAAAAAGCTTATTAAGAAGAAACTGTGTCATCTCCTGCGCATTTAGAATTATTTATAAATGCTTGCAGAGCTCTTGTTCTGTGCCTTCTTGGTATCGTTGTAGGCTTCCTTCTCCTATAAAGTCCTCTTCTGCCATCTTTCTTTTAAAAATATGTCTTAACTCCTAAGACCCTGAGGAGGGGAGCTTGTAAGGCTTGATTTTTGTGGCTTAAATATTTGTATACAATTACACAGCAGAAAATTTTGTACAGTTTATAGGGTTGAGCAGGTACTTCCATGGGAGTTTACTGACGATCCTGCCCTGTGAATACCCTGTGGTGATACAGCTCCACAACTGAATTATGGGTATTACAAGTCAAAATGAGTGTCTTGATATTTTTACTTTTCAAGCTAGACTGAAGGGGGAAGGAAGATGCTTCTGATGCAGAAGTGATGCAGTACCACTGCTGCTTTTAATGGCCTGTGTGTTTTGCCAGCTTTTCCTTTACTTGTTGCATGCTATGCAGGCATGTTGTCTAAAGGGGTATGAATATATATATATATGTGTAACATATATACATATGTTGCTCTGAGATCTCCATTCTATCCTTGGCTGGAATTAGGATGAGGAGTCCTGTCTCTGTGTTGGATTGATGAGGGTGTGGTGAAATACCTCAGACCATCAATCTCTCCATAGGCTGCTGTTTTCCTCCCTGCAGGAGTGAGGATTGGGCTGCTCCCTTCAAAATGGGGAATCCCAGTTACAGTCCTTGCTGTTTCTTCACTGGATTTCCCCCTTGAGAGCCCTGGGCGGCAGGGATGGCTATGTGACTGCACGAGTGATGAGAAAGTATCTAAAGTGTGATAATATTGCTCAGTAGAAGCAGGTTTCTGTAGACAAGTCTTACATTTTTAGCAGTTTTATTGCCAAGGAGTGAGAGTGTTGCTCCACTCCTTTCCTCTATTTCCATTCAAACTCATTTATGCCTTTATAGTTGGGAGGATAATGATAATCCTGCATAGTGTCTTCATTTTTGTGTTAAATCTTCTCCGTCTTAGAGATGCAAATAGCTCAAAGCTGCCTGGGTCTTGTTCCCCCAAACTTATGAAAATAGTGAATAATAGGAATGTAATTAAAAAAAAAAAAAAAAAATCTGTTTTCCTTGTAGCTGGAGCTCTCAAATCACGAAGAGCTTTTTCCGTGCTTTTCTAACCAGTCTGCAGTTGCTTAGTCACTCTTTTATGTGTTGATGGCACTAGCTATTGTAAACAGTAAATTCTGAGTTTTGCTTTTTCTCTAAATGATAAACTTGCCAGTTTTGTATTGGTGGGGTTTTTTTTGGTGTCTGTGCCAGTGCTGTTACTAAGTTAGAATCAATCTTAGGCATTTAAATGACAGTTCTTGATTATATATTTTACATTATTTTAAGTAGAACATTAATCTGTCATAAAGATTTAAGTTTGAATTCAAGATAATCAAGAAAGAACAATATTAATACATTTAATAAAAAATAATTTACTAGCCTATTCTGAAAGATTGGGAAAACAGATGCAGTTATAGTAATTTTGTGTATTTTTTTGTTAGTCTGTGAATTAAAATTGAATCCAGTCTGCTTTGGTTACCAAGCAGGACTTTTGCCAGTTTGACCTGCTAAACCATCTGGTTGGTTTGATTCCCCTGGTCAAATAGCCTGCAGCTGGTGATAAGCTGCAGTACAGTATGCATTACGAGAATATGGCATGGAATCAAATAGTGTGTGAGGTGTAAGTCTTTGTGAGTAGTTGACTGTTATGCTTCAACCTCTGAATTTCTTCCCCCTATACCATAGTTCTCAAGGTGTCACAGTTAGCCTCAATGCTACATCTGGCATACTTACGTCATACGAACTCTCTGAGACCATCAACGATCAATCGATAGAACATGAGTCTGAGTATGACCAAGGGGAAGATGAAATTGTTTATGACAAGTCTGAAGCACCTGACGTATATGCTTCAGAGTATGCAGAGGAAGGACATTATGAAGGCAATGATCCTGACCTGACAGAAGACCAAATAGAATATGGGGAAGAGCCTGGAGAAGAAGATGAAGTGCTAGACCTTGAAATCAATGAACCCCTAGATGAATTTCCAGTGAGTTTCTTTCTATTGTATCTTCAAAGATAACATTGCTTCACGTGCATAGGGTTTTAGACTGATTTGAAATCTGTTTACCTCCCTAGGGAGGAGGGGAAATTAGACCTATTATCACTGTCTGCCAGTTTCTTTATCTAGGCTGTGACAAAGTTTGTGTTGACAGCTTGTTTGGCGGTAGGTAATGCTCCTTTGTCATGCTGGAAGGCAGTTGAGAATCATGACCTTGAGGATTGTATCCTTAAGGAAGAAAACAGCTTTGTGTGGTGAAGATACACTGCCAATTGTTAGAAGTACTTAATGCAAAAGCTTTTATCCAGGCTTTAGACAAGATCTGATAAAGTCCTTCGAAGGTGAAAAGATTATTGACCTGCTAAAGACATCTTTAAGGTGCTAATATCCCAAAGTGATTGATGTCCTGCTCGTTCATCCTTTTTGTAACTGAGAACTGTCTAAACCTGAATAAAGAGATTGGAGGTTAGTTCAGAAAATGTCACCTGCATAATTCAATATAATTTAAGCAGCGTATTAGAGAACATGCACTGGCTTTAATTGGTAATGAAATTATTTAATCTTAATTAAAACTGTATGTGATCAATGGGATGTTTTAAAATACAAGCAAACTTACTGAAGAAAGGTTTTGCTCTTGTTTTTTATTCATAATTGTTCAGAATTGAACCTGTTTGTGTAAGCACTTGCAGAATGTTTAAGATTGTTTATATTTTGATGGGGTAAAATCTGATGTTAATGTATATGTGCTATAGGTGCATGTTTCCTTTGGTAAGAAAGTACTGCAGTGTTTGCTTCATGAATTTGTGGTCAAAGAATGTAGAAGTACAGAAGTAGATGGGGCAAACGGTAGTAGATGGGATCTTTATGATGATATTGCTGGGATCTGAATGAAAACTGTTTTGGTTATGGTTTTGATAATATTGAAATTATTGTCTACTTAAAAGCCCTGCTAATTATATCTTTGGGGTGGGTTGACCCTGGCTGTATGCCAGGTGCCCACCAAGCCGCTCTATCACTCCCCCTCCTCAACCGGACAGGGGAGAGAAAAATACGACAAAAGGCTCACTCATGGGTCGAGGTAAGGATGGGGAGATCACT